GCGGGGGAAAACCATTGTGATATTCGGAATCAGCACGTTCGATTACCTATTGTCAACTGAGTTTCAGCTCAAAAGCGAGGAGGCAGTTGGTGGCCTTTCCTCGTAAGCACAAATTAAAAATGTGCCCATTACAATGAACATACAAAGCAGCAGGTACAATTTGTAATAAGCGAGCTGACATACCTTTATACGTGCCACGCATTGCACTTGCTCCATCGAATCATTGGCCAACTATATTGTTAATATCTAAATCAAGTTGTTTTAACCATCGAACTAACAAATTAAATAATGCTTCACCAGTCGTGCTAGATGCACGCTCAAAACCAATAAAACGTTCATATACGTGAAACTGATCATCAGTATAACGTATAACTAAAGATACTTGCTCATGACGAGAGATATCAGCTGATTCATCCATCATGATCGAAAGTATTTGGCATTTTTAATCTCAAATACAATTTGAGATAATATATTTTCTTGAATTAAATTTAATATTTCATTTTGAATTGAATGGTGTGTATATTTTAAAGATTTTAATTTACTTCTAATCAATTCATTTTCCATACTTCTAAATTCAAGTAATTCGAGAAGATTACCTAAAAAAGACAAACAAAGTGTGATTAGTGGAAAATAGCATAAATGTACAAAAGTAATATATCAAGTGTGATTAAAGCTTTAATGAGTAATTCAATGTTGTGTAATAGATGTATTACCTTTGTTTTCTGATGCATCATTTTCTCTGTGACCCCTAAATGCTAATCCTTGTCGAGCCAGAAATATAATAGTTCGAATTATTTCCTTTAAGTACAATCTGTTGTCAGAAGTTTGTTTTTCATGTTGCTTGTTGATTTGTTTTGCAACATCATTATTCTTTCTATGATTTTTAACTGTATTAACCCATAAATCATTCGCATATTTATGTGATGATGCTGCTTGATGTTTATTAAATTTTGCTATACCAACTGACCAATTATCAAAACCATCTACGGTAAAGCCTTTTTCAGATTGATCTTCCGAAAATGCAAAACGACAAACAAAACAGTAAGCTTTTTTAGTCATTTCACTGAATTCGAGCCACTTATAACGTTGATACCAAGTATGACAAAAATGCCGATGGTTAGTTGTTGGAAATTTTATATTTGGTTGATATGATCCTAGCAGCAAAAACTCTTTAGCAGCAATTGGCCCTCGACCTGGATCTCGTTTGCATGAATCATTTATAGGAATATTATTTAATAATTCACAAGTATTATTTGTCGATGCTATTGTTGTTGACGAATTTTCACCAGTAGATTTTTCATAGATTTCATTTTGATTATGAAGAGTAGGAGTTGTCGATGAAGACGATGGTGATGATACATCATCAATCTCACTTAATACAATTGCTTCATTTATATTTACCTTATCTGCATTTGTAGTTGTACTATGAGATGTATTAATTGATTCTTGTAATAAATTTTCTGATGTTCTTGAGAAATAGTATAACAATTTACTTTTATCAGACATTTACTCAAGCCAATATACAAAAACCTAATTATTATAAAATAAAGAATCGAATTGAATACAAAACAGTGAAAGTCAATCAAGAGTGTCTTTGTATTATAAGAAGAGTGAAAGAACGATTGGTGTTTCTTTTTCCAACCGTATAGTGTTAATCGATTGTAAATGTGACAGAAATAGATGTCATACATACATGATAAAAATAGTCTCGAAAGAAAGTAAAACAAGTCCAATATTATATAAACGCTCTTTTGACAACTATCTGAATACGTTATTTAGGGATAGCAATAACTTTTTATTGCTACCCTTCGCATCACTGGCGCGCCGCCTATGTATACAGATATGTTAGAATAGACAGAAAGTGACATCTTTGCCTTTATTCATCGTCAGACATACTCAATCTGATGGTAGCAAACAGTGCATTTTTCTTACAAAAGTTGTATGCAATAAAATCTGTAGAAAATGTCTCCAAACATTAGAATTCGCAGTCTAAATTCTCGATTTAGAATAAATTCGATTTATGTCAAAATCACCACAAAGAAAAGCACAAAGTTATCTTAACTATGGCACTATTAAAAATATATCCAACGATTAGGGGGATGTCCAGTTCACATGAATTTTTCTTTCAAACCAATATGAAACTGCAATTCTGCAATATAGCGTTCCTGTAAAATCAAAATCGAAAAGTTCCAAATTACAAAACTCGACGAAATATTCACTATTTTTTGGACATAATAGATAAAAAGCTATAGCAATCGTGAAACTGTACAGTTCTTTTTGAATTAGGCTATCATATTCCTACGGATCACAATTTTCCTTGAGAGTACGTCAATAATTGTGGGATATGAGACGAACGATACAACGGTGACGGTGATTCGCCGGAGCATTGCCACCGTTTCACTGTTTCTTATAGGTAACCATTTCATTAATAATCGATTATAGCCGGTATAATATTTATACTAACCTATACCGGTTTATACCAGTTATCGATAGGACATGTTACTGTCAAAGTTACATTCTTGTACTGCATTATTTCATCTTTATTCAAGGACGATTGTGAAAACAACATTCTAAAGTTTCTTCATTATCTGTTCACCTCTAAATCGATTCAAAAACCAACTTCGATAGTTACACATAAAAAGTTCATCTGAACTAACAGCTGAATCTTTTCATTAGATGAGAACAAATAGAAGTGTTTCGTCGATTTCTCAAAATACTCTGATGGAGGACAAAGCAGTTTTTAAAGCCCTCATTTGAACCCTCACACATCAAAAACTAGTGGGACCTCGCTATCGCTATTCGTTTTTTTTGCTTTTGACTCTTAAAATGAATGCTATGAAGATCTCAAGTTTTCCTCATAATCTATTCCTGAAATGCACGATATCTGACAAAAATTTGAGGTCTTCGTAGCATTTATTTAAAAAGTTCAAAGCCAAAAACGAATAGCACCATCTTCACTGTCCACCCATCACCGGAAAGTCGCCACTATTTCCGCTATGCCACTATCAAAAATAACCTTTGATCTAAACATCTTTCAACAAAAACTATAACATTTCAGTAAAATCTAAAACTTATCGAAGATATTCTAGGGCGATCGGCTTCAACAATAAAAAACATCTACAGTAGTCGAGCACCAGATTCGCTCCAGAAAGCATGACCTGAACTTAAAAAAGGCAGCAAAAAATTGCTCTTTCAATCTATGCGACGCTTGCTTGAGTACTTGAGCTTTCGTAAACCATTTTTGAAAGTAACCAAATCATCGTCTGTTGGTATCAACTTTTCCTGCAGATTTTCGTTGAATTCTTAGCCAAAAAGTGTTCATCCAGTGAGTTCATGCTCTATAACAGTAAAAAACGTTAAATCAGCCTTTGCACGTTTGCAACTTAAATGCTCAATAAATGGGCATAACATACAACGAAGACATACCTTGGACTCTGTCAGTGTATCCATCTAATTTTATTCGAGTCAACCACTTTGCGACATCGCCTGAAGTCCACTTGTCCGAATTCATCTACAAAGTTTCATTTGGCATATCGATTTTTAAATACGATTCATTCGGGTCTTTTACAATAATTGTACACAACAAGACCTTCTCATTTATCCGATTTTCTTCTCAATGATAAATAAATGCTCTTACTCTTAGATTTCTAGCAAATATTCCCTTGAAAATTGTATCTTAACTTCACTCGCAAATGACTTACTTAGAAAGATTTATCTCCTAAAAGTCTCTGCCGGTTTCTTCAAAAAATAGCTTTATTTTCTGTCGTCTTCCTTTTTCTCGCTGGTTCAAGAGTGAAAGCTTAGAAACAGAGTTACCATTCAACACTACAATCTTCAATTGTTTGCACTGAAAACAGTAGATCAAGCTGGAGCTATTAGTGTAAATTAAGTGCATATCGATGAGACGTGGATGCGGATTAACGACGACTGTGAACGTTAGTATTATTATACTGCTCTCCCATACAAGTGTCAACACTAACAGCCAGCTCCATTAAATTTCATTCTGGCAGTCACGATGAAAGTCTCTAGTTTTTTTCAATTTCAATCAGTAATACTGTACAAAACATCATGCCTTCTATTCTCTTCCTGGGAAATAGAGTAAAACAGATGTTTCACAATTCAAAATCTCTCTATGCATGGCGAAGTACACACATCGACTATACTAAAGTAAACATATCGCGAATCGTCGCATAAAATAACCAACACTATTGTAAATAACAATACGGATGATTAATGAGAAAGTTGTTATAAATTACTGAACTCATCAAACAATATGTAAAATAGCGATTGAAAGTGCCAGAACTTCTACGATGAATTTTGCTGAACGTGATCAAACATAAGATTCTTCTCAAATACTGAAATAATTGAACAGTAAACAGAACTGAATCCTTAATTTTAGAGAGCTAGTCAGGGAATGAATCATTAAAAAAGAAACGGATAAGCATGCAACAAAAAGAAGGCAATCAATATAAACGCTCTATCAACAAGCGAAGGTTTTGAGAGACATTAATACAAAAAATGGTGGTTACATTCCCATCATGCGCTTCTTTTCCTGCTAGCTATTATCTTTCGTTTGCAAGCAAAAAGTTCAGCATATTTTAAATACGCTAATCGTGCTGATAGACGAAAGAACTCAATGTCGTGGCGCATTTCGGTATGTGCTTCTTGCTCTTTTAGTACATGAAACTTCCTTCCGATAAGACATTTAGAATTAGATGAGTAGCCAAGCGAATAGTGAAGGAACACGACAAATAAAAGTTTGAGCCATCTAAGCTCTATATATACATGTCAAAGAAAGAAAAATTTGACAATAAACTGTCTTTAATACCGTTACACATTTCTTTATGGAACTATCGCTCATCTATAAATGACACCATTTATCAGTGTTCGGACTTTCGGATCTTTTGAAGGAGTATCTATTTGTTTTCAAATGAATTCCGCTCAAGTCAACACTAAATATCTGGAAAAGTGTAGGTGTGGATGTGCTAATATTCAGACATAGTTAATACATCCAAATAAATCCTGAATAGATCCAGTGTAAAAAGGTCAAAAATAATCTATAGTATTTTGTGTTAATGTTACTCGATTGCGTTTTATCTGCGTACTTCTCCAAGAAAATTCTTAAACACAGGGAGAAAACAATACTGACTGGGATAAAATCCAATAATCAAGATAATTCAAGATGAAAGAAAAACAGAAAGTGACGTATTATCAATGTTTACCGACAGGAAGAGAAAAACAATATCAAGTGAAGGTTGTTGTGTGTTGTAGAGCGTCATTTTCTTTTTTGTAAATTTTGAAGTAATATCGATGGAGCTTTCGTATGCATTGAGAATGCAGTGATACGTACATATGTAACCCGATATATTAATGAAAGATACTGTCTGTGTTTTTATTGTAATTTTTTTTGCAGTTGTCAAATAAGACAGTTTTGTTTCAGTTTTTTTCTTTTGTCCTCATCAGTGATGGCTTAAAGTTTTTAACCTCTGTTTTTAATATTTCCTTCGTCTCAAAATATTTCGGAACAGAATTTGCAGAGTTTATTGTGAGGTGTGCGTTTTGGAATACAGTAGTGCCATACGCACGCTGAAGCCCAAATTCACACCCTTTCTAAAGAAAATCTTAGTTTTCGGAGTTAACCCATATTGGATACGATTATTTCCTGTCAAATATACAGACAAGTTTTGATTACCTAACAGAGGTCCAACCAGGCCGCATTTTTGCAGGCCTGGCCGGCCTATGACAGGCCTCTGAATTCCAAGCCTGCCTGTGCCTGCTAACTTATTTGTTTGGCCTGG